GAAATAAATGTTAATTTTTTGCTTTTCAAGATCTTTATTAGTATAATGAAATAAATGTTAATTCTTTGCTCTAAATTACACCATTGTGTGTAAAACAATAATGAATGGATTATTTCATTTTCTTAATATTAAAAAGTGTAGTTTTCTGATAACTGTATAGTTGTTTAAGGTTTCTTTTTATGGCCTTTTTGTTTCAGACATTCCACTTTGGCTTTTCACCTCCTGAACTTTCCGATCTTGAATATATGTTTCTGTTCAACGTTTCAGGCTTTAGAATTTGATGTTGATCAAAATGTTTCGCTAAATCTCTCGTATGACCCGACATGGTTAGCAATTCTGAGAGCAACAAACGCTCTTACATCAGTAGACAAAAATGTAAGTATCTTTTTCTTTACCATGAAAGTAACAGGAGTCCCTATTTTTCATTAAGGTAAAATTGGTGTTTCAGCTTTTATTTGTTGATTTTTCATTTTGATTTCAAAAAAGAAGTTCTCGTATCAGGTCCAAAAGCAGGAGGAAATTGTGGTGGATGTGCAGGTAATAAGGTTTCGTGTATAAACCTTCAAGGTAATGTGCTGGTTAAAAGACATCTGGCTTATGTTTTATTCTGATACAAAAATCAAGATGTTTTCATCAAAATACAAGTCTATGTTTTATCTTGATATTTAGACAAAACTCTACACTGATTGTTCCAAATTACCAGTTTTGTGACTTATGTTTCAAACTGTTTTGATTGTGGACACAGTTTCTTTTTAGAATATCTACATGCCGTCACAACATACATGCAATGAGCGTTGGGACTTCAGACCGACAGAAGAAGAACTAACAAAAGTGGACGAAATATATGGTGGGGATTTTACAGTTCCAATGAATTTTAAGATGACAGCGAGGCCACACAGAGTAGATGAAACGAACGATAGTTCTCAAGAATTGTATTACAGGTGAGTGGGCTCATCGAAATACTAATTGTTAATAGTCGAATTTTCTCCATACGAAGAAGATCAGGATCAAAATTTTCTGAGGATTAGTTGGGTTTAGTTCAGAGCAAATCAAGTTCTCCAACTGGCTCTGAAAAAGAAAAGGGTACAAAAGTAGCAGAAAATGTAAATTTCATTTTTTAATTGAATTGAAATCCAGGCCCCCGATTTCCCATAATAAGAGGACTTTCTTGTTGTGAAAAAATTATTCCTTTCTTTTATCGAGTCGTTTAGATTTGGAAGGTTTAGCCTTGAGTTAAGATCAAGCAGAACTTTAATTAAAGGCTTACCTTGTGAAGACGTCGAATATACGTTGTGAGGACGCAGAGTAAAATTTACCGCTTTATTGATATAATACAGGGTTGATCAGAAGGATTATTGAAGAATAACGAGCAGAAATCGCTTGACCGTGAGTCAAAAGCTGTTGTAAGAATACTATGGAAGAGCACTAGTCCAGACAAAAACCTTTATACAAAAAAGGGTT